TGCCGAGGGATTTCAGGGGTTTGATAATTTTCCATGGTACTAGTTCTCATGATTGACATGGAAAAATTATTCTCCGAATTTGTTAAGAAGGTTCAAGTAAGTGAAAAATTCGTCCAAGACGAAATTAATTAGAAAAATGGTCAGTTTTGTGGGGATTATCTCTGGAAAAATTGTTAAAGGAGGTTAAGGGATCTTTGGAGTGAGGTTTGAGGATGAGACTTTCAGGAGAGGGTGTCTGGGTAAATAAAAAGGGGTTTTAAATTGAGAAAAGTCGTATAAGGAAATGGATTCTTATTAATAGGTTTCCCCAAGACAATCCGGCTAAGGAGGGGTTTCTTCGAGGAAGGAATCGAGGATTCATCTTTTCGAGGTGAGTGTAAAGGGGGTAAAATCTTTGTCGTAGGTCTTTTAGTTTATGCTTTTCGTTCAAGTTATTAATTAGTTAATTTTTTAGTAATGCGCGATATGTGTGTGAGGCATCTCACCGCCTATAAAGGTGGAGGCACGCATTGTGCTATGTATGAATGTATGGTTGTAATAGTTGGTTAGTGGTAAGATGAACCCCCGAGCGGTTGGGCCACTACTGGACGCGGTAGATGGTTGGATCACTGCTGGACAGCGAGACGTAACATAGTAGTTGATCGTGTTTGTTGGGGTCACTACTAAACGGCGAGATGTAACTCAGTAGTTGACCGGGCATGGACTGGACGGCGAGACGTAACGCAGTGTCATTGCCGAGTTTGGGTATGCAACTGGACGGCGAGACGTAACGCGGTTGGCATACTAGGGTAGGGACACTAGACGACGAGACGTAACGTGGTGGTCCCTAGTGTTGGTGTATGTGGATTAAGAATATAAGTAAGGAAATTCTAAAGATAAGATAGGAGTAGAGATCTCTTATAGACTATTTGATAACAAAGTAGAAGGGATAAATGCGAGAACGACTTTTGTCTAAGTCAAGAACCCTAATAACGTGTTTAGTAAGGGGTTTCTTAGGACGAAGACCTTAGGAAGTAACAACGAGACTGACCCCTTCTTACTCACCAGGTCGATGAAGGGTTAGCAGAGGCGGATGTCGAGAAGAGGCAAGGCGAGGCGAGTATCTGCACCAGCATTGATGAGAAGTCAAGGAACTCGTGAAACATCAGACCTAGAATAGTTTAATTTCTTTGTTACATGGTTAGGAGTGTAAATTGGAGATTCTGAGTTCATTCATTTTAAGTATTGGGATTGTCATTTGCCCAAGTGTTCAGTCTTTTTGTTTGAAAATCTTAAACATTGTGGTTGTTGGTTTTGACTTGTAAACCTGTTTTGGGTTGCTCCGGAGTAACCGGTTTGTGATTTGAGTTATAGTTTGGTTTTCAAAAAGGATCGGGTCATTTCAATTTCATCAGGGGATTCAACGAGTGCTTGTAGTGGTTTAGTGTTTACTTCGAGTGACGAGCGCTTGATGAGGGAGAGAGAAGTCGGAAGGCCAATTTTGGATCTGCTGGCGTTTCCGTTGGCATAGTTGACAGAGACGAGGGAGACCGCAAGCGTGGTCGGCGTGCAGAGTGAGTGACGGCGTGAAGGCGTTGCCAGCGATAGATCCGCTTCCGTTGCAAATTAGGAGAGAAGAAGATAGGGATTTCAAGATTGGCCTGATTATGTTTAATTTTTGTTTTAATTAAGAGCATAATTTGATTGTTCCGGGAAGATTATGTTTGATTTGGAGTTGTGGTTGGGTAGCAGATGTGAGAGCTCTCTGTCGAAGAAGAGGTTGGGGAGTAGACGGAGGGGAGCCACCGGTGGGGAGTTGTTTTTCAAAAAAATTCAAATTTTGTTTGAATTTAATTCTAATAATTCAAAAATAGAAAATATGTGTAAATATTGATTATTTTAATAATTTTAATGATGACCGGACAATGACATGGCGGGTTGACCGTTGTCAACTATTTTGACCGTCCAAGATAACAGTAAAATCTCGCGTTTGACCAATTTCATAACGTTGATGCATAGTTGATGCTACAAAGTTATAGATCGAAAAGATTGGTCATGATGTTTAATATGTGAAAAGTTCGAGCTATAGAAATATATTAACCCAAGATAAAATGTCAAATATAATCTCAAAATTTGACATTACAGAGCTGGTCTTATTCGAGTTGCTTTGACATTTTGGCACTACATTGAAGTTGGTCTAAGATCCTAGATCTAACTAGGAAGGATAAAAATCACCATACTCGTGAATGCCCACAATAATTCGAAGGGATTGGATCAAACTCATATATGAAAGAATTTTTAATGGGTATGAGTAAACTGCGAACGTGAATACTGTGAGTGATGGATGTATATGATTTTCTCATTATCCAACCGAATTCGCCCGTTCATATACATGCATATATATTTTGTTTAAAACTGATCGTTATTTTTCTCAACAGATTTAATATGGATTATACACATATAATATGTTCATGAAATTATATTATTTTTAATTAACTTCCTTCATTCTAATAATTTATTGTGATATTTTTCACTTATTTAAATTTAATATACATGTAATTATTAACATATTGATTGAAATTATAAAGAGAAATTATTATTTATAGATAATAGTGAATATCCTAAATCTAATTGAAGTATGAGTATAATTTTAATATTCTACCTTATTCTTATACAAACATCCGTATGGATAAAATTCAAGTAGATGTCCACCCATCTAGAATACTGTCGCCAATAATCAGTGGCTCAGTGCAACTTCCCCGAGCAATGTTTCAACGTGAGTGGAGAGAATAAACGACGAGACAGATACACAACACATACATGAGATCTATTTTGGATCCTCTGACTGGAAATCCAAGCCCAGTATATCCATCGAGGGCCCATATCTAGTACCCGTACCACGTAGACTTGGGCCACCGACCCACAACTGGAAAACGAATGAGACTCGGACGGCAGAGATCAAACCATAACATCTTCCGGCCCCTCGAGATCCGCGACGCCTCCTGTTGAAAGCAGACAATCCTTCCAGTTCCTCTCTGACTGCTGCTGGAAAAGAAAACAACCTCGTGAGTAAGCAGAAAGCAAAGCAAAGAAGGTGAAAATTGGATAAAAGATTAGTGCGGTAATAAAGTAAAAAAAAAGTGGGAAAAGAAAGCCGCGTGCGGTTCAGCGGTTGTTTACTTTTGGTAATTTCCGTGCGCTCGTCGCTTTTTCAGTTTGGAAACCCTTTTGGCATTATTATTTAATTATTGGGTTCATGGTTGTGCGTTGTTTGGATTCCAAAGAGCCAGAGGATCCTAGATTAGCAGGTTAGATAATGACAAATCCACCTTTAATCTCACTTCATTCATGGTGTTAATTACGTGTCTCCAGAATTTGGTGACAGAATGTGGCAAGATTGTTTTCCTGCCCAAATTGCTGATGTAATTGCCCCAGAGGCGAGTTTTTGATTCCAATGAAATCAGTTTTAGTCTCAAAAAAATATTGCGCGACTCCTGAATCTCCATGTATGGTCTCTCTAATGAGAGAGGTTAACGGTTTGAATTATTTGTGCTGTGTTTCTAATTTATTTTGTAGATGTATTTGTTCAAATTTGTGTTAATACGATCTAATTCGTTGTGATATTATGCATGTATAAAGTGCAGGGTGATCGAGAATGAGCTAACATGTGTTTAGGAATGGCAATGAGGCAGGTAAGGGGGCGGGTTTTTTGATCCCAGACTCGCCTCGTGGCAGGAAGGGTCCAGGTGAGGTAATTTATCACAGGTCGCAGGTCGATCCAATGTGTATGCAATTTATATGAAAAATATTAGAAATATTCGTTATTTTTATTATAAGACCAATAAAACAAACAATATTATGATAAATGTAGTTAAATTATCAGAGAAATTGAGGGTTTCACTAATTTAGAACTTTATTATAGCTAAATTATGATGTAATAAAAGAAAAATCATAAGTAATTTGACTAAGATTACATGTAATTTAGGCAAGAACGGATCGAGAATGTGGCGGGTCAGGACCGGTTGATGAGAGTACACATTTCCGCCCCAAACAGGACAAACAGATTGGATAAAACGAATGAGGTCGAAATTTCCATCCCTACATACATGTGTCCAATCGCTCGTTTTGTAGAATACATGACCAAGTTGTATATATGTGATAAATGAGTGACCAGGTTGACTAAAAACCCTACTTTATTCAGAGAGGGAAAGAGAGAGAATTCAAAAACCCTCTGCAAGCTCTGCAACTTCGACAGATTCCCCGCCCACTTCCCCAGAGGAAAGAAAGAAATAATTTCACGGAGGAAGAGAAAGAAAAGAAACCAACAAAGGGAGCAGAAAAATCCCCAAAGCCCACGTTTCCACGCCCACGAACACCAACAACTGCACACGAAACCACAACCCGCGTCTCCACCTCTCCCTCTCTCTATCTCCCGTCCTGTCTTTGTCTCTTTTCTCTGGTAAAGCAAACTTTTTTTTGGAAACTTTGCACTTCCATCAATGCCTTTCTTGATCCTAAAAATCTCGTCTCCACCAGAACATTGATCAAGACCCACCCCTGCTTCAACTCAAGCGAGCTACAGGTTTCACTCAAGTTTCTTGCTATGCTCGTCCCTCTTTCTCTTGTTCTGCTAGAAAAGCTCGTTGTGGGTTTTTTTCCCTTGTCTGTCTCTGGGTTTTAAGTCTTGTTAGTGTTTGTTGAAAGTCCAGTGTGAAGTTTGATTCGTGGTTGGAGGTCAAAGTTTGGAACTTTCTATCTGGGGCGGGTTCTATTTCTGTGAAGCTGTTCAGTATTTCTTTAATCAAGGGTGTTTCAGGGCACTACAAACGCTACCCATTTGCCAGGGTTTCAGGGAATTGGCCAGGATTCCCGGGGAAATTTCTTAGCTGTTGTTGGTAGGCATTTTGGGAACCGTTCATTTAATCGCATTAGTTTTTCCTATTTTTAGTTCAAATCATTCCTAGATCTGCTACGACCAGGGGTTTTATTATACTTGTTTTGAGTTTTGAGCAAGCAAAGGGATGGAGTTTGCGCCCGCTAAACCCTTAAAGCCGCCTTCAAACATAACGGAGATGGTCTCCAAGCTTGCCAAAGTTTGCAGATTGAGATCCATTGGTGTGTTCTCCGGTGAAAACCCACATAACCAAACAAATCCCGCAGGCATTTGCAATCCCCCTTTGATGGGTGAGAGCAGCAGCAGCGATGCCAGTGGGGGAACAGATTCCGGCCGTGCTGGTGGGAAGGATGGAGTTCGTGCTCAACCTGCAGTGGTTCCTGCGAGTAAGAGCGGGAAATTGAGCGGTGGTGACAAGGATATTGTCAAGCTGTTTGACTCGGTTTCGGCTCTGAAATTGGCGTACATTCAGCTTCAGGAAGCTCATATTCCTTACAACCCTGACAAGATTCTAGCTGCTGATGAAATAGTCATGTCTCAGTTCCAAACTCTCTGCAACATTAGAAGGTCGGTTAAGGAGAAGCAGTTTGAGAAGGCGAAGCTGGAGTCTTCTCGTTTGGGCTCGCTGCGTGCTGAAGTTGAAGCTAAAGAGAGGGTCTTGGAGCAACTGAAGTCTCAAACTGGGGCTAGAGATGCTGAGATTGCACGATTGAGGGAGCAACTTCATGATTTGGACACTTCCAATTTACTGTTGGTCGAGACTATGAAGGCAAGAAGCTTGGAGAAAAGGAGTTGGAAGGTTGTGGATGCTGTGATGTTTGAGGAAATCTTCAGATTGGCTTGTAAGTCAATTCATGATTTTGCAAAGCCGATGATCAACCTGATGAAAGCTTCAGGGTGGGATCTAGACTTGGCTGCCGATGCAGTTGTGAAAGGGGCGACTTATGCCAAAAGGTCGCATAAGAAGTATGCATTCGAAGCATATGTTTCTCGGAGAATGTTCCATGGGATGTCACTCAAGTCATGTAATGTGGACGATGTTATGAGGTACGATGATCCTATTGAGTCTCTGATAGAGAATCCTAACTCAGGGTTCGCCAACTTCTGTGGGAAAAAGTACCTGTTCGTTGTTCATCCGGTGATGGAGATATGTTTCTTTAGGAATTTGGATCATAGGATGTTGGTGATCAGTGGGAAGCATCCAAGAACACCGCTGTACCAAATCTTTGTGAGAATGGCAAAGTGGATTTGGATTCTACAGGGAGTTGCCACATCGATTGATCCCCAGGCTAAGGTGTTTGCAGTAAGCAGTGGAAGTGAATTCTCTGATGTTTATATGGAATCTGTTGAAGAGAAGTCAGAGTCCAACTGTAAAGTTGAATTCATGGTGATGCCTGGCTTCAGAATTGGGGACAAATTGGTTAAATCTCGGGTTTATCTTTCGAAACCAAAATGATTCATTTTCCTGTAACTTGCTAGAATGGAGATGCTCTTGTTGACACGGGTAACGTTGTGAAGCCTGCTATTCATTTCTTCTTATTAAATGTGTTTATATGCTTTATAATCGAGCTAGTTATGAGTTGCTTTTCCAGAGTGCTTCAATTGTAGGTAGCGTAAGAAGGAAAACAGCAGCAGCAGATGCTGGTAGTTGTTCTATAATGAGTCTGCTGTCAGGTTCCAGGAAACTCCCTTATATATACTTGTTGAACTGTAAATGTATATATGAACTAGTACTCGCCAGTTGCCAATGAGCGTATTGTATTCAAATACAATGTTGATATGAATTAGTTCTATAGACTACAGTAAAAAAATTTGCTTTGAGAATACAGCATGATTTGACTAGGGAGTAACAAGTAGTTGATGCAGAAGAAATGGAGAAAAAGAAGGAAAGAATTGGCACTAGCCAGACGAGCTGGTTGTATGAATTTCGATCTCATCGTGATCGGGAGCAAACAAGTCCTTGCAGAGCTCACCATAGAAAGTGCAAACCAGATCGATGAAGACGGGGCATTTCAGGCTCTTCCAGCAGTAGAGAAGGTCCTCAACATCCATCAAGTCCCTCATCTTCCCTTCCTCCACAATCATCTCCACCAAGTAGTTCTCGAAGCTTCTGCACGCATCTTCGACTGTTTCATCCCCAAACCGGCTCCCGGACCTCAAGGCCTTGATGTAAGCCGGGGTGACCGGAGAAGTTAACAGGTTCCTCCTGTCCCTCGGTTCTGCCTCAGACACAATACTCCTGAGCTCCATCACTCTGTCCATCTTTCTATGGCGACGACGGAAGAGCGAGAGGAAGGAAGTGGGTGGTTTGGGTGGTGCTGATGTGACGCTACGACGACGATGAGGACGAGCAGAACGGAGGGCTTTGAGGGGTTTTATAGAGAGGGGTTTTCTGAGCTTCAGCCTGAAGATTCGAAGGAATTTTCTGCATGGTGTGAGAAGCTTGGTTCTGAAGGCAACTAATGCTTTCATTTTGAGCTTCTGATAATAATGTTTTGGCAACGGAGTGTTTGGTTGTGGATATATGTAGTAGTTTGGTGGTGTACCAAATTGAGAGAGAGGGAGGGAATTAGGAGATTAGGGAGGTTGCTTAGAGGGTGATAAATTAATGTAGAGAGGGGTGGTGGATTAGATGGTAGTTAAGCTTGGTTCTTTATTGTTTTAATTATTTTGAACATGCTTTTGGAGTAGTGGGATTCACGTCTGTTGGGAGATTGCAAAGGAGAATGGAAATGTGGGACTCCATTACAAAACGAGGCAGGAGGAGTAAAGATATTCCAGATCATAAACAGGAGTCAATGAGTCTAATTAAGTCTATAGGCTTGCTAAAGTTTTCAATTGATTCATTTTTCTTTTATTGATTTCATGACAAATTGTTCCCGTTATAATGCGTGTCTAATAAAGGCGACTGCGAAACGTGACATCATGTGAGTTTGTTGAATGAATCCAATACGAAAACGAATAGATGAATATGTTTGATTCTTGTCATATGAGACTTGAGATGAGTTAAGAAAGATGACATGGATTATGCCAAAAGCGTAATTGGAAATCGTATAAACGCATAAGATAATATTAGTTGATAACGTAACCATTCTTAAAAAACTTGAGTTATTGACACCTATGATTAGAAGGGCAAAACAACTCCAATTGGATTCATAGTAAGCAAGGGTACCAGAGGGCAGAGCTACAGCTAGCAATGGGTTATTGCCAGGGCTAAGCCTAAGTTCTATAGCTCACAAGCTCCTAACAACCAGCAGGCAGCAACAGTGCTGGGCTGGTCCCTTGATCGAATTGAATGTACAATCTTGAGAGTTGAAACTGAATTGCGTTTAAATTTAACAAAGTTTTTCTAATTCATTTACAAATTGGGGATGTAGCTCAAATGGTAGAGCGCCCGCTTTGCATGCGGGAGGTACAGGGTTCGATCCCCTGCATCTCCAATCAAAACTTTTTTACCGCACTTGCTGTTCCAGAATCCAAACATTCCAGTATCTGCAACAGGATTTGGATGCTTCAGAATTCAGATCCCTCAGGAATAAACTAGTTTTTATCAAAAAGATAGGGAGGGTAAAGCTAGCCGCTCAAACCATGTACACATTTTGGAGAAACACTTTCCTCCAGAATACAGCAATATGCTTATATGCAGAAGAAACATACAAATCAGGATTTTTGTCGAGTGGATATATAGCTCCAAATCAGTAGACAGGATCTTTCGACATCCCTCTCTGAAACTATGTTAATAGCTTTGCTACATTACAATAAATCATTAAGGGTGACGACCCTGTAACCCTAAACAATGTCCCCCCTCTTTCTCTCTGTATCTGACGTGTATGAGGTTTCAGCAGCAAGAAGGGACTCTTCCCAACCTTTACTATATTTTAACAGACAAGAACATTAAACAAGGGAGAAAGGAAAGGACAGCAAAAAAAGGGCTCGTGATTGTGGACTGGCTGTAAAGGCCCATGGTGTCCTTCCTTCCTTCCTAGACCTGAGATTCTGTAAATTATAAGAGAGTGGAGAAGAAGATGTGATGGGCTGTCAAATTTTGCTACCAAGATATTGCAGACGAGACCATTGAAAGATTCTCATAGATTTCAACAACTCCACATATAGCCCCTTCTTTTAAATTTCCCATCAATCCATCTTTTCCCTCCATGGTGATGTTTGCTTGGTATTCAGGACATTCAGTTCTGCTAGCTTGTGTATAGGAGTGATGATCTGATATTGTTAGATTGGGACGATCCGTGATTTTGATCAATAGTTATAACTAGTGAAATTTATGATATAATAAAGTAGTACGATATCAACATGTGCTGATACCTGTTCTAAAGCAGATACTTATTAGTTTACGAGACAATAAAGTTATGCAAAATGTGGGTTTTACCCTCTGTTTTCAAAATCGGACCGGAGTCTGAACAGGAAAAGTTAGTGGTTTAAGATTCATTTGCTAACCGTTACAAAACCGTTGGTACCGTTCACGATATATAACATATAAGACTTGTGTTTTACTTTTACATTAATTTAAGAATAAAGTTATCATTTACCATAAACAATTTCAATTTCATATCATCACCCAAATATCTAATAAATCATTCAAACTGTCTCACAAAAAAAATCATAATTTTTTCAATTCAAATTAAAAATTACGATGCCAGTCGGTAGTGGACCATGGAAAGTCGACAACAAAGTTAGAGAACGAGAAGAGGACGTAGTTATAAAATTAATAATGAAGGTTTGACTGTTTTAGTTTATGTTAAAGTATTTTCTACAAAAAATTGTGGTTAAAATAGTGAATCAGTGGACCAGTTAAACCGTGGTGGTTCATCTGGTTTTATGTTGAACCATGAAAAAATGTTTGATCCACCAATAATGGTCCAAACAATAAACCAGACCGCTATCGCAACTGATTTGGCGATTCTACTGACCCAACCGTTGAGGCGATTTGGTTCTTATAACAAGGGTTACCTTGTTTTGCTTTCTTACACCTTACATCTTTCCTAGTTCCTACAGATGGTATCATTATAGTGTTGTTCAACATATTTGATCGAGTAACTACCATAATTTGAGAACGTTATGTTGTTGCATCAGATTTGCTCGTAAAAAATATTAAAATTTGAGATAACATCAAACAAACACACAAATCCTAAATGCCGCCATGAGGTCGCTTAACAGAATCAAGCACTAGGATTAGAGAAAAGAGGGAATATAATGATTTGGGGAAGCATGAAATCATGCGGACTAAAAAGAAGGAAGCGCCACTTGCCTGACATAAGGACCCTTCTCTATTCCACAAATCATCATTGCTCTTCTTCTACTTTGATCAACAAAAGAAAACGAAATAGAGGATGGAAATATTTTGACCTTGACTTTAGTAAAGATTGAGTGTGAAAATGTTGTAGAATGCGATATTTTTATGTGGCGTCTTCAATTGATGATGGTGATTGCACTAGGAAAAAATCCCAAGTTACACATGTTTTTAAAAAAATTTCTCAAAATACAAACGTTATGAAAATAATTCCCAATCTACGTTAGTTTGGGCCATCACCGCTGTCGACGAAGACAGTGATTGCATCACTGTTGTCGACGAAGACAGTGATTGCATCATCGCTGTCGACGAAGACAGTGATTGCATCACCGCTGTCGACGAAGACAGTGATTCCATCACTGCAGTACACGGCCGCGGTGAAGGCCTGACCTGCGTCGAAACTTTAAACCAACGTAACTTTGTGCTCGGTTATCCGATCGTAGCGAAATTTTTTTTGATTCCGCATAATTTTTCGAGATCTTGCAAGCCGCAAATTACCGTAGGCGGTTTGGTCCCGCCTTCCTCTCGAAAATATGTCGTTTGCTACCCCGAACGAGCCTTTTTTCGATTTCGTCAAACTTTGAACGACCATAACTTTGTGCTCCACAATCCGAAAATCATGATTTTTTTTATTTCGCATAACTTTTTAAGGACTACAATTTTTATCATAGACATATTTTCAGAATGTACTTGGATTCCTGAAAAGGAAGGTAAAGTTATTCCCAAAATCCCTTATATCCATAAATAATTCATTTTTTGAAAATTCTCTCCTACTAAATATTTTAGTCCTTAAAATTTATGCGAAATCAAAAAAAAAATCATGATTTTCGGATTGTGGAGAACAAAGTTATGGTTGTTCAAAGTTTGACGAAATCGAAAAAAGGCTCGTTCGAAGTAGCAAACGACATATTTTCGAGACGAAGGCGGGACCAAACCGCCTACGGCAATTTGCGGCTTGCAAGATCTCGATAAATTATGCGGAATCAAAAAAAATTTCGCTACGATCGGATAACCGAGCACAAAGTTACGTTTGTTTAAAGTTTCGACGCAGGTCAGGCCTTCACCGCGGCCGTGTACTGCAGTGATGCAATCACTGTCTTCGACGACAGCGGTGATGCAATCACTGTCTTCGTCGACAGCGGTGATGCAAT